GTGTGTGTGTGTGTGTGTGTGTGTGTGTGTGTGTGCTTGTTAGAGAGTGGGATTAATTGTGTTTCTATTGTTTTGGTGTCAACAGCTCGTGGTGTGCTACTTGTTTTTGCATATTGTTAATTTCCCCCACTCGCTGCGTCTGGCTGTGAAGCTCTGCATGTTTCCACGTTATTTGCGTCACTGTGTGTGTGTGTGTGTTTGTGTGTCCAGCCAAACCGAGAGGTGCCTGCCTACACAGTGACACTTGGTTTGACAGGCCAGCTGACACGCTAGCATTTAGCCCCACAAGCCTGGCCGGGTGTATGTGTGAGAGGGCGTGTGTGTGTGTGTGTGTGTGTGTGTGTGTGTGTGTGTGTGTGTGTGTGTGTGTGTGTGTGTGTGTGGCCCTCACTCATGGTGTTGATTTATGACCAATAACACAAACTTAAAGTTGAACAACTTCATCAAACTGAACAAAACAACTAAACAGAACAACTTATGTTTACACTCATGAACTTCTTTAACAGTCATAAACAAACAAAAACATCATTTCTACAGGATTACCCAGCATTCCTTGCTGTGAAAATACTGGTCTGTCTGACAGGAGGTGGAAGAGGGCGGGGCTTTTCACAATACGTCTTTCAACACTGCATGGTGTCATATAACAACACTGTTAAGTGTTGTATGACATTTAACAGTGGGCGGAGCTTATTTAATACTGTCCAGTGTTGAAACTACACTGAGAAAATGAACACTGTGAATTAACACCAACACTGGAAGTCAGTTTACTCAGCAACACTGGGTGGAGTTAAATCGACTCTGAAAAGTTTAACACTGACATTTTCACACTGTGGTTTTTAAGTGACAGTTTTACAACTGAAACGATCAGTTTTATAAAAACAAAGACAGTTCAGTGAATGATCATTCAAACAGTTCATCAGGCTGCAGATGATGACCTGATCAGTTCTGATTGATAACTGATCAATAAGATGTTTGTGTTTGTTCAGAGTGAGTACTCCAGTGAATCTGAAAGTGAGGACACATTCCTGCTGATGCCTCCCAGAGATCACCTTGGTCTCAGCGTCTTCTCCATGCTGTGCTGCTTCTGGCCACTCGGCATCGCTGCCTTCTACCTGTCCCACGAGGTGAGGTCCTGCTCAGAAACTCCACACAACCACCTACTGTATGTCTCTCTATCCTTGTGGGGACTTTCCATTGACTTCCAGTCATTTTTTGGAAATTTTATATCCTAACCCTGACCAAATACCCTAAACTAACCTCACAGGTACCTACCTGACCCTAAACTAACCTCACAGGTACCTACCTGACCCTAAAACTAACCTCACAGGTACCTACCTACCTGACCCTAAACTAACCTCACAGGTACCTACCTGACCCTAAACTAACCTCACAGGTACCTACCTGACCCTAAAATAACCTCACAGGTACCTACCTGACCCTAAACTAACCTCACAGGTACCTACCTGACCCTAAACTAACCTCACAGGTACCTACCTGACCCTAAAATTAACCCCACAGGTTACCTACCAG